AAATATGAGCCATTTATATTTATATAGTATTATATACATTCTGACTTAACACCCCGAAATTGTAATTAAGCTTCCCGGTCTAGCAAGTCCGTTCGAATAATTTTGGTGGAGATTTTGGGTTTGGAACGCGTTCTTGCTCGACTCGTACCGACAGCGCTGATTTTTTTTTTATCCGTGTAATTTTTTTTTTTTTTTTTTTTTTTTTTTTTTTTTTTTTTTTTTTTTTCAAAATTATACCGTCAACTGGTCTCTGTGGACATGCTTGATAGCGCGAATTTCAATCCCACATTCATGGAGAGCATTGTAACTGTCGCTGAGATATGGGTTGATAAGTCTGACATGCAAATAAGTGAACAATGTAGGGATGGAGAAGAAAACCAAGCTAAAACCAAAAACAAAAAAAAAAAAAACACACCAACGCCGCTAAGAACTCAAAGTGAGGCTCAGTAAGGATGCCGTGAGTTTGCCAGCTCTTGGTGGTCTGCGTAAATTTGTCAGAGTGTTAAGTAAAGTTTGCCTTTTCATCATGTAGTGTATCGCTTTCATACCACGGTTGGAAGTTGTTCAAGATTATTACGAAAATTCACAAAACACGGTCGTCATAATGCACACACTGAGCGCGCGATCCAACGAATACGTGCAAAATTCGAAAAATAATAAAATTTCCACCTGTGTTGTAGCGAATTTCGCGAAAGTATTTATTTGACTCCACTTCCATGTAAGATTAAGTTGTCACTAGAATTAAAGTCGACAAGCTATATGAAGTGTTATCGCTATGACGATTTTTCACTGGAAATTGTAAAAGTTAACGAAGATCATCAAAAAATCATCTTCTCAATTGAGCCCCATTCCTGGCTTAATTGGTTCGTCAGCAAACAAAATTTGTACTTTCGTGAGGATAGTGGTATGGCGTCAAGATCGCACTTTATTTCTCTCGGAATCATCAATAATGAGCTTTATAACATGATATTGACCGACTGTTTTTTGGAATTTCTTCAAATCGATGCTCCGACTTAATACCTCTAGATTATTTTTATGTGAGTTTATTAAATCAGAGCTGGTTGATTGGCAACCAGCAACGCTGGAGTAGAKTGAAGACAACATTCAGCGCACTATAGACGAAATTCCAACTAAAATTCTGCACCGGGTTTTTGAAAAAACACATGTCGCAATAAATTTAATGAGCTCAACAATGTCAATATGTATAGGTTATGACAAGTCTGAAGTCAAATTTTATTTTTCTGAGAAAAGTTTTGATAAAGCAAAAGATTAAATCAAAATTTTAATCTAAATAAATTTGTATTACTCCCACAATATCATATTTCCTCAAATATTTTTCCCTAGTACTGTTTTTGTCGAGTATAATCACATGACATTGCATTTTGACGTTCTTCAACCCGAATACCTGAAACTACATCACCATAATTAAAGTCATCCTAATCCGTTGTGTACTATCAACTGGCAGGCATCAATTTGCTTCCTAGGAGTATAATTTGTAGGCTTATTCACTGTTTATTTTTTGCCAATTTTTGTATCTATTGTAGAAAGCAACAGTAAGAAATATGAGGTGGGAAAGTACTACAAAAAAATTTAAGTAGTATGTGTGAGCTGTAGTTGTAGTGGTAGTGTTGCAATATATCGAAAACTGTATGGAGTATCTCACATTAACAACGCCCAATTTTCTACGATTTTCCGACGCCGGCACGTCAGTGGTGTGTGTATTGTAGCGAAAATTGGCAACAAACCGAAAGGATGATAAAAGAATAAGGCAAAATACGTGACAACGCATATTTAAGCAGCTCGAAGCTACAATTTTGGCACAAAATGCACATTACCCCAAAAAGTAAACTCTTTTCGCACAAAGGCTACAAATAAAACTTCAGTGAAACGCTTGCTTCTTGAAATATAGTAGTACGGGTATTTATATAGTATKGATGTACAAACATTTATATGTATTTGAGGTCGCTTAGGAACGAATTCACTTTACGTACTAAGCAGGAAAACACCTTTTCAACGAATACTCTACTAAAAACATTGCAGAAAATTACAAATTATTTTGAAGCCAAACAGGGACAAGCAAACTTAAGAGAGTACTTGAAATAATAGTTTATAAGCTATTGGATCGAAAAACCGCCAACCTGATCGATCATGCTGTGACAGACGGAAGACACGTCTCCAGTGTTTTAGATGTGCGCGCGCTCCGAGATCCTAACATCGACTCGGACCACTATCGTGTTGCAGCTGAAATTGGCATCATCTGTTCTGCTTTTTCCAGACTGGACAAGGAAGCAAAGCAGATGGGTCTTGCAGTAAACGAATGCAAGACGAAATATCTCCTGTCATCAAACAAATAGTCGTCGCACTTATGACCTGGCACTCAGTGTAGGCATCACCAACAATGTCAGCCTGGAAATCCAACGCAAGATAACTCTTGCCAACAGGTGCTACTTCGGACTGAGTAGGCAATTGAGAAGCAAAATCCTCTCTCGACGAACAAAAACCAAACTCTATAAGTCACTCATAATTTCCGTCCTGCTATATGGTGCAGAGGCTTGGACGATGACAACAACTGATGAGTTGACGTTGCGAGTTCTCCAGAGAAAAGTTCTGCRAAAGATTTACGGCTCATTGCACGTTGTCCACGGCGAATATCGCAATCGATGGAGCGATGAGCTGTATGAGATAAATGACGACATTGACATAGTTCAACGAATTAAAAGACAGCGGCTACGCTTGCTAGGTCATGTTGTCCGAATGGACGAAAACACTCCAGCTCTGAAAGTATTCGACGCAGTACCTGGGAGAAGTARAGGAAAAGGAAGACCTCCACTCCAGTTGGAGAAGGACCTGGATTCGCTTGAGCACCACGTAGCGAAAAGAAGAAACGGCTGACGYGCTGTTGTTAACTYGGCTATAATCGYGTAAGCGGTGTCTACGCCAATTAAGACGAAGTTTATAAGCTATAGTTATACAATATATATTAAATAATATTTATGTTATAAGTAATTTTATAAGTGGAACATATTTTTTATATTTTCAACTAAAAAGACCTTCCAGTCTAAATTCAAATCTCGACTGAGTCAAAATTTGAAATAGTATATTTATATTCTTGCTCATATCGTTAGTCTCCTGTGTTCCCCCAAATATAGTTTATGTTCTAAATTTTCTCGAAACTTTAGGTTACGTCCAGCATTTCCTATTAGCACCACAGGGAATGCTATTCGCCGGTATTTTCTACTCTCGCCGTTTGCATACAAAGTGGCTTGACTTAGAGCAACTAAATAAAAGCAAGAAACAAATTGAATTGTGTAAGTCATTTCATTTCGTAGATTAAATAGAGAACAATCCAAGCATGCGTTTTATATGTGCGCGTATTTACCTGTTCAAGTAGTATTTCTAACCTGAACAACTTAAGCCTTTTTGAATTGTTTTGTGTGATCTATATTCAAAAGTTTCATTTTATGTTATCTGAACTGCGAAGCTTACACTTAAGCGTTGCGAAGAACAGACTAATAGTAAACCCTAAATCGAAACTGATACTTTTCATGACTAAAAATACCTCAATTTAATTTTCTCTGTCTCTGAATCGCAAAATTAACCTTGAAAAAGAATAACGAACAAATAGAAAACAGCAGCAAGTTCAGCTAACGTAATAAAGAAATTCGGATGTTGCAACCGGAAAGATTATGAAAACAGTGCCATCTTGCTAAACCTAAGTAAATCAGACCATATTCTCTCAAGATTAGATTACAATAGTCACTTTTAGGTGAGGTATTCTTCAGATRCGAATGGAGAAAATATTTAGCGGAGAGAAGCATACTACCTCTACCTATACTGACGAATGTAAAATGAACAGCGAAATAAGAGCGAGATTATACTTCAATAAACTTGACATTTCTCTTATTATATCCACCTACTAAACACAGCCAGCGTCTTCCACGTGGAAGTACTAGGTATAAAGAAGCCCAGTAGAGTTTTCTTAATGTGAGTGAGAGTAAATGCCACGTCCGCTAAGATGAAAAGAAAGCTTTGTATGCACTTTGTACAAATAGCGCAGAGTAGATAGAACTCAATAACGAGCTAGAGATAACAAAGCTGATACCGCTCAAATATGACACTAACAGAATCAAGGACTTATTAAAAATGTTCAGAAATAGTATTTTAGAGCATACGCTAAAAATGGTCTTGCCTTAACAGATTAATTGAAAAGTTCACTTCAAAGCGTGGAAAAACGTCGGTTGGAAAGTTTAAGCCGTTTGTATTTTGGGATGCTTATGGGATAATTTTTATTGACTACCTTGAAAATRAAAGACCATTAACAGCGAATATTACATTACGTTATTGGATCGTTTGAAGAACGAAATCGCCGAAAAAAGCCGTATTTAAATAAAAGGAGAGTGCTTTTTCGTCAAGACATTCACCGTATTCTCAATATCTGGACTTTAGCGACTATTTCCTGCTCTCAGATCTCAAAAAAATGCTCTACGGCAAGAAATTTTGTCGAATTAAGAGGTGATTCCCGAGGTCTATTTTGGTATCGAACTGGGGATCGCTATAATYGGTATATCATCTTTGAAGAGGACTATGAATTTTGAATGAATAAAAAAAACGAATTTTTGCAAAAAAAAATTGCTATACCGGGATTTTTCAATTGACCTGTTATTCTTTTAAGCAAATATCTATTTCAATTGACACTAAATGCTTCTTTAATATGCAAACTTTGCATTGAGAGTGCACTTGTAATTTTCAACATGCGGCACATGCTCCCAGCATACAAATAATGCGTTTGTATGGACTCTTAAATGAGGTTAAATAAGTGYGCTTATTTCGCGCTTCCGCAGTGTACTCACTCACAAATTTCATTATACAGTTATTCTTTTCAATTATTATATGATATTCTGTTATTTACGCTACCTTCTTTTCCTTCTTTGCCTTGCTATCCGCATCATACGACAATGTTTTACACCAACGTCGTGTGTACCTTTCACCTTTCGGTCCTTTCCGCCGCCTGGCGTTGTAAAATGTAAAATTTCCGAATTTATTGTCGTTGCCAATTGAAGCGAACGGGAATTTCCATTACAAGGTGAGAGCGCTAGGTGTGTGTGTTCGCATTCAGCCTTTTGGCTGCTCGGCAACAACTTCCTGCCATTGTGCTGTGTGTGTGTGTTTATGTTGCTGTCGGATTGCATCACCGGGAGTAGGCGGACAAGTGAAAATGGTCGACACAATAATGGCTAATAAAAGCGTGCAGTGGCGCGGCAGAAAGGGCGTTGTGGGTAATGGCAATTGTGTTATTTACTTGCTCCTGGCACAAGAAGCTTATTGTAAAATTAACAGTGAATAATATTTATACTTACGAGTATTGAGGGGCARTATTTTCTCTTGTCTTTAATATAACGAAAATGTTGGCAAATAGTTGATACTTTAGCGTTATCGCTTGAATGCGACACGTCTTAACACTTTCGYCCGAAAATTGGTTTTTCTCATTTTATTTTCTAGGATTTTCAAGATTTTTTCATCGAGTGTACACGTTTATTATTTACTACTTTTCGTTTGATTTGATTACTGTGCAATATGGAAACTTTTTATAGCCTCCACTAAAAGTAATTGAATAGAATTCCTTGTATGCAACGCATCGATTATTCGGGTTGAAGAGTTTCCTTGTTTTTTTCGCACAAAATTCAAACAGAGAACCTTATGCTTTTGATTCTTAACAACTCTACAATATTACTGACAGCCCTTTCTGGCCTAGAACAAGAAAAGAACTGGCATAAATAATACCAATAATCTAAGCCTGGAGACCGCAGAATAGCTCTTGCCAAAAGGCGCTATTTCTGGATAATTTCTGGACGGTATTCAATTGAGAGGCGAATCTCGGTTTCGACGACAATAAATGCGCTCTGTAAGACTTTTAGCATTTTCTTGTTTTTGCAAAGTGCAAAAACATGGACGAGATGTAAATATACTTGGAGCATTCGASAGAATTGTTCTATGCAAGGATTTTGGAGCCGTTCGCATGAGCGACTGATCTTTTATTATTCCCGCCCTGCTATGCGGCGCAGAAATATAGACGATGACAAACCCAGATATAAAAGCTCCTGGAGGATTTGAGAAAACTGGATCCCACAAGGTCTTTGGAGCCATCCGCAACTCTCCTGTTTCTAGCCTTCCAATCCCTCAAACATGGATTTCGAGACTCGACAGCACTTGAAACCTTCGAAAAAACTGTTCTGGGTAAGGGCTGTGAAACGGTCCGCGAGTGACCTATTAGCATTCCCATCCTCTTATGCGGCAGAAACATGAACGATAACGAACGGATAAGTAATCACTTGCACGGTCTTTCGAGCCGCACGCATGAGCGGTGAAACTCTTATGATACCCGCCTTCCAATATGGTCTCGAAACATAACATGCAACATGACAAAACATGATTTGAAAGCACCTAAAGCATTGGAGAGAACTTTTCTCCGTAAAGYTTTTGGAGCCGTTCACGTTAGGGACTGATTTCTTATTACTCCCGTCTTCCAATTTTTCTGAGAACTATGGACCATAACAAATCAAGATATCAAAGAACTTGGAATATTTGGAGGCAGAGGTGCCCACGTCCACTTGTTATGTGTAGAAGTGAACGATTATGAACCGAAATGTGAAAGTACTTGGGGCTTTTGAGAGAACTGTTCTCCTCCAAGTCTTTGGAGCCGGGCATTTGAGCTATAAGTACCGAAAGAGATGGAACCAGGTACTGATTGAAATGTTCTGGTTAGGCCATTTCGTACTCATAAAGACGTCGCTCCAACCAATAGCTTCTTCGATTTGAAACCCATGCGTGATAAATGGAAGTAAGGGACAAATCTGAACTTGGGAAAAGTTATCGGCAACTGAGWTCGATCCACGGTTGCAGTGCTAAAAAAGAGGTAGTAGTTATAGGTTTAGATAAGACGTGCCAAGAAAATGGAAGTACACCGATGATGGCAATCTTCCTCTATAGGCAATACTATTATGCCCGAACAATTATCTACAATGTCAGTTACTACACAAGACACTTTCGAGAATCTAAATCGTGTCAAAAAAACTAACTTTATAGTCTTAAGTCAAACTGACAGAACAAATAAGCTGATAACGGCACATTATTTGAAAATATTGAAAATTAAAAAGTATGATGTACAGGTTTCAATTCGATTATGCAGTAGATAGAAAAGAAGGTCATTGTAACTAAATTGAACTAAATATATCAGATATAATATCATAGTCAGCAAAGCTTTTAGACCCGCCAAGTAATTCAAATCAACTAAGCCACACAAACGAAAATTCGGCGTGTTATTTTTGCAGTAGGGCAGCCAGAATTTCAAACTACGAATAGAAGAATGAAACACTTTATGATTTAAGGCATTAGAACACTTCTTTCAACAGAAAACTTACACTTTTTTCGAGCTCCACATCCAATTTCTCGAAATCATTGAAGGTCCGCAGGAGCTGCGCTTGCCCAAGGCCAATTCGCACGCCGAAATAGTGTGTCAAAAGTCGAAAATATTTATCAGCACCGCCTATGACGTATAAAATATATCCGAAGCGGTCAAATTGTTGGCTTTGTCGCTCCAAATGATGCGCAAATAATATAACGACTGGACGTTAGTACACATAATAGCGAATTTGCTGGTCAAACGCAAGTAGATGCCCGTTATTTCATACACCTCACGGGTGACATTGGGAAATGGTGTCGGCATAGTGCTTTGGTTGGCCAGATATGGTTGACGTTGTTTCAGTATCCACATGCAACGGTAAGTGGTAATGACAAAATTATAAAAGTGCAGCTCAACGTTAATGCAAAGCCAAGTACAATCACTACACGCATGTTCAGCCCCAATGTAGTTTCACACATCACAAAGATGAAGGAGATGTTTTACAGTAGCGTTGCTACACCCTTTCAAATGATGCAGAAATCGAAGGTGCTGCAGCTGCCCGCCAAATCGGCATGCTTGGCCAGATAAATCCGCTCGATGGCGGCGAATTCGTTGAAGATGTGCAAAACCGATTTGTATTCGCGCCAATTTATCGTAACAATCATGTATATATAGTATATTCGGCACGACAATGGCTCTGATCAATAAGCCAATTAGTTTATTGTATAGCTGTAAGTCCAATTCCAGCAATTCGTCGGTTTACCAAGCCCCAAACGCCACAAATGCTATTACCACGTTAACGCAGTTGCTATAGACGAAACTGTATTTGGAGGTGGAGATCATTTGTAGTTTTGAATCATAACAAAACGGTAATATGTCGAAAGCGATGGAAAACCTAATTGTCGAATTGTAGAAAAATCGCGCGAGACCGATACGCCAAAGCGAGCTCATGACCTCGCACACATCAAATGCGAAGTTTTTCTATACAACCCCTTGATTCAGATCGTTCGGTTTGTATGGCAACTATATTCTATAGTGTGCCGATCTGAACAATTTCTTCCGATATTACATTATTTCTACGAACAATAACTCATACTAAATTTCGTTAAGGCAAATAATCAAATGACGAAGTTTCCCATGCAAGCATTTGATTCCGATCATTCAGTTTGTATGACAGCTATATGCTATAGTTAACGGATCTAAACAATTTCTTCGGAGATTACATTATTATCTTAGAAAATAACCTGTGCCAACTTTTGTGAAGATACATTGTCAAATGTGAAAATTTTCCATATAAGAACTTGATTCCGATCGTTCAGTTTGTATGTCAGCTATATGTGGTCCGATATCGAAAGTTCGGACAAATGAGCAGCTTCTTGAAGAGAAAATGA